ATATCTTTTCAGTAAAAATGGAGATACTCATATAATTTTTCTCATTTTATTCTTTAAATTTCTTTCCATGTTTGCTATTTTTACAGGAAGTAATTTTAATTATATTTTCAGATTTAATGGCATAAAGTTGTATATCACATTCTTGTATAATTTAAAAATGATTTCCATTTATATGAGAACACCTCCATTTCTGTATATCTTCTGCAGAAGACCCGTGTCCCAGCTCAAGTTAGGCAGAGGGAGAGGGAAGGAGAGAGCAAGTGAATCCCCTTCTCAGCCCCTTTATTCTTTCTAGGCTTTCAAAGGGTTGGATCTTGCCCACCCATATTGGGGAGCTGAGTCCACCGATTCCAATACTCATCTTATCTGGAAACACCCCCACAGACATACCCAGAAATAATGTGTAACCAGATAATCTGAGCATCCCTTAGCCCAGCTGAGTTGACACATAAATTAACCATCCCACCTGGGTAATGTGAAATTCAATAACCTAGTTCAATAATCTTTCAGATTTGTTAAACATGTTGGCATTTTAAAACTGTAGATTCAAATTATAGAATAACATTCCATAGAGCATTCATATAGCTAAGAGAATGAGTTTTATCAATTTGGAAAGGAAGAAAAAATTATCAAATTTAAGAGTCATTTGATAAATGACTAAGGCATATTCTGTATCATAAAGGACAGCCTTTGAGTTGTACTCATACAGGCATATACACATGTAAGGCACCTGCCCATACAACCCGGATTATGTACCTACTGCTAATACACCATCTTACAAGGAACTCACTCTTCATTTAAGATGAAGTTTGAGTTTATAGATTTCAACTGTTTATGGCCAAATGGGATAAGTGAGAGAGTGAGGCATGAAGGAACTGCAGAGAAGATTTCGGAAACTAGCAGAGATCTGGGAATTCTGGAATTTCAGAATTAATAAGAATTGAAAGTAGAGAAAATTGTATGATGCCTATTTATGTAACAAATTATGAGTATTACCTATGATCTGAGTTTATATATATATGTATATCCTGCCTGTCCCCACCCCCATACATGAAACTTAAATGAGGCAAGATTACTTTTGGCAGATGAGAAAGTTATAGTATTTACTGTGGCAGTTATTTATGTGTAAAGAGGTGCTAATATATACAACCCATCAGTGACTCGTAACATTAATTTAGTGGGTCCAGCAGTTTGGAAATAAAATAGAACAGAAATTACCACAGTGTGGTGCATGTGGTAAGAGTAGGTTTTGTTTTGTGAAAGTTTTATTTCTGTGAAATGTATGTATGTGCTGGGTCATTGTATAGGACATATTTCTATTGTGGGTTGAGGCAAAGTCTGAAGGCCACTGCTCTAAAGAACTTGCAGAGTTTGTTCTCAACACTCACCTTCCCCAATACCCCTGCAAAAAAAAATTCTGATCTGCTTATCAATTTCTTCTTATATATTCAGCTTAAGTGAATTAGCTATTCAGATTTTCTGGTACCGTCTTCAAAAGCCCCAAAGGAAAAATCAAATTTGTAACATATAAGCTCAAATATAATTTATACTTCTTTCTCTATCTCTTGAGTTGTATTGTTTCCACAGACAACAGAGGTTTAGAGAAGACCAATGAAAGCTTAACCTGGAGTTTGAAAAGTGGGTACATTTCAGTAGAGGCAGGGGTGACAAGTAAGAACGGACACCACTGCAGAGTGAGCTTGTACACTTGCCACAACAGACCCCGGTGGGTTGGAGGTGGCAGTGCAAAGTGCTGAGGGCGCGGAAGAGAAATACAGTAGAGGGATGAACTGGGCATAGACGAAACAACAGGAATGCGGGGAGCTGGGAATATAGGACTAGAACAGAGCTACAGAGCTGATCCAGGACTAGAAATGAGCTACAGAGCTGGATGTGGGATGGGAACAGAGCCACGGAGCTGATCCAGGGCAGGAACCGACCTACAGAGCTGGATCCAGGACGGGAACAGAGGGGATGGGATACTCCTCCTCACAGAAGTGGTAAGTGAAGTTGTGGGAGAGACTCGGCTCACGAAGCAGGCACTGGGAGCACCAGGGTGAGGAGGACTCCCGGGGGGCCCAGCGCTCCGTGCAGGTGCAGTGACGAGGCCATTCCCAGAGGCGGGGGTGAGAGGGACAGGGAGGGAGAGAGCCCCCACTGCTCACCTGCCAGCTGGGTGTGGTTTTCCTTATCTTTCTTAAAGAAACTGAAAATATATTCTTAGTTGGGAGGATTTATTTGCAGAGATTATGAAGCTCTAGGGAGAATCACTGCAGGGTTAAATCTTGGCAAGGGAAGCTATGGCCCCTGTTCTTTCACTGAAAAATATTCTGAGACTTGGGGGCAGCCCCATTAACAGCACCTCCCAGCACAGGACAGCCCGCGACACCACAGTGCTCCCAGCTTCCGGCTACAGACTCAAAACCTTCCTACTTTGTAACATAGTCTGGGTTCTCAAAGTAATCCTGTCAATACTGGGTCTTTTACAGAGCAGAAAACCAGTATGTGAGTGACCCTCTCGTGTGTCACAGAATCACAGAGAACAGTGTAGCCAAGCAATCAAACGAGTCTCCTGACTGCTTTGTGTGAAAGCAAAGCATAGCCTATAGTTTCAAAAGTTATTATAAGATGATGTGTGCACATGAAAAAATATTTATACACATGAGGTGAAATGACAATTAAATCTGTAATAAAGATTTTTAAGAGAAAACAGTGAATGATTTCTGATTTGACAGCCAACACACTATTACATATGAGAAGTTACTAAGAGTAGCTCAGAGAGCAAGACTGATGTTACACCACTGAACATAAAAAGCATGGAAAGAATACGAAAGAAGGATGAAAACAACCGGGGACGACAGTCATGTACTGAAATGAGAAGGAACTACAGCACTGGAGATTATCCATCTCTGACTCTGTTAGAAAATGGTAACTGCGCCGAGCATGTGTGTTTACTGGCATGAGCTTGAAGCCCAGTTAGGCTGAAGCTGTGATCTTGGCCAGGAGTAAGGACTAGATGACAAACACGGCGGCAGAGAGCTGGAAAGGAAGTCGGCACCCTGCTCTCCAAACGGTAAAAGAGTAATGGGTCCTGTCCAAGCAAAAGTGAAGGCGGCATATATTATTTTTACCCAGTAAATTATCAGGACTTTTAGCTGATTGCTCTTTCTTCTTTAATATGGGGATGTTTGAAAAAGAATCACTGGGCAGCACTGAAAAATGGAAAGTTTTCACAGGACCACCTGTAGACAGCAACAAGAGGGTGTCTTTTGCCATAGCTCTGTTCCCTCTCCCTAACTAGCCTATGCTCCCCAATTGCAAGGGACATGAGTGACTTGCAGAAGATTACTTTTCTTACATGAAGGTAGAATTGCAGACGCTCTCTCCCCGGCCTGTCGCCTCCCCACTGCTCCCCACCAGAGGGTGCCGCCTCCCACGCCAGGTCAGGGACAGCACTGCTGGCTTCCCAAGCCACAGCAGCGAAGTTGGACTCTCCACCCTACTGGTTCAGCTTCCTTGTCTCTGAGACAAAGGTCCTTAGATTGCAGTTAAAGTTGTTCTACTTCTGGAAGCAAATCAAATATATTTTCTTGACTAAATCCGAGGCATAGTGACATCACAACAAGCACTATTCTTTCTTTTGCACATACTTACAACTACATTACTTGGGACAAATACTTAAGTGACCAGAAGGGTTGTTAGGAAAAATAATCATACTGCTTTATAGTCAAGCCCCAAACTATTTCCTTTTGGAGTTCCTGTGTAGTTCTGGGCCACTGTAAAGAAGTCTGCCCTCCCCAGGCACGGGAAGCGTGGCAGGGGTGAGCAGGTGCCCGTGCGGGCGGAGCTCAGCTGCGCAGCTGCCCTGCGGTGGCGAACAGAAACCTGCGTCCACAGAGCAGAGCGGGGGCGACTGTGTACCGTGAGGAGTCCTGTCTATCGCTCACTATTCCCAATGGGAGGGCAGGCGAAAACAGCAACGTTTAGAAAAGATCTAAATAATTATGTAAATAATACTTCCAAGAAAATGGCCATAGGACATGGTGACTGAGGCGTTTTGTCTTAGTGATCTGAAGCTAACATTACGTCAGGATACCACAGTGCTATTATAAAAAATAAAACACACAAAACACAGAATAACACTAAATCTGTAACAATTTACATAAAGATGAACTGGAATGATATATTAATATTTGTGATAAATACAAATCTGCTGGTGCCCACTGTGTGCTAGGCTTTTATAAATACGGCATCTATTCTTAGACCAGCGGGGCAAGGTAGAGATGATGGTGAGGGAACAGGCCTCGGAGCAATGGTCCCTGTCATCCACCTGCAGCCTCAAGGCTGATGGGGACAGAACTGGGACCCACCCTTGCCTGGCTGCTCCTCCCACTCCGCCATGCCTGTCTTTTTTGTATGGGGCCCAGGAATGGAGAACTGTCAAATAAATTCCAAAAAGTAAAAACAAAAGATGAAAAGTGGTTAAAGGAAAGCACAGAAGTGGAAGTTCTTTGTTTCTATAGCACGATCCCATGAGGCCCGGCACGCAGCGAGGGCAGCGCTGGCGGGCGTTGTTTCTACCGTTTGCTTCGACTTATGCCAGCGCCACACGCCACACCTGCTCTCCTCACTTACAGTCAGGGCTGTGAGACGCTCAGCTTGTTTCCACTGTTTCACATGAGAGATTAGTTTATTTAGACAACTGGCATGAAATGGCCAAGCAAAAATTGCTTTGAATTTAACCTATTCTAATTTTATAAATTTTATGATTTAACTAGAGAAGAAAATCTAGAAGTATTTTACTATCTAGGTTGGAAAACCAATTTAAATTGAAGAGGATTTTTAGCAGCATCTCAACCACTAAAAAAAAAAGGCCTAAAAATGAAGGAAGTCTTCAAAGTGAAACTCTGAGGTTTTAGTGCCTCTGTCAGCCCTGCCGACCCCAAAGGAGTCCCCTGCATGTAGAGACTGTATCTGAAGAATTAATGATCTACACCTACCTTTGTTTCATAGAATTTTTTCCTTAATCCGGCATCTCTGGGAGGTACTATTTTCCTCAGGTTCCTGTACCACTTTCGAACAACGTGTCCTCTCCAGTGGGCTTGGATTCTGAAACAGATGTTTGACAGTGATTCACTGTGGGTGGCTCCAGTTGGACAGATAGTTCTGTACTTGCTATGAGCCCTGTGCTGGCCCCGGGGAGGCGGCGGCGGCCAGGAAGAGAGAATCCCTGTATGTTCCCCAGTTAGCTCGCACGGCTGATCGCCACAGGCCCACCCCACCGTGCGCTGCACGGGCCGGCATCCCTGGGGCGGCAGAGACCCTCCGTACCTCGCTGCACACTGCATTCTGAATAGGTGGGCCCCGTCGTGTATCACTCGCGTTTGATACTGGTTCTTTCTACAGAGAGGACAGGTTTTCTTATTGGTGAACTTTTCAAAAGCCTGAAGGCATGCCTGAGGAAAAACATTTCACTTAAAATTTCACGAGTGATTACTTTTAAACATTTTTACTTTTAATGTAATTATAGTGTTCTTTTCTCTCATAATTACGAGACTTAATCCAATTTAGATGATAAAGTGAAGAAGTTTCGTCAGATGTTAACACCTTCCTCATGAAACCTGTTCTAAAAATGATTTTTTTTTACAAGAATATACATGCACAGACATCAAAAACTTTTGAAAATCAACGAATGTAAAGGTAAGTCATGCTTGTGTGTGAGACTAACACAAAGACAGAGCATATGAATTAGGCTATCACTCACTTTGATGTGCACTAACAACAATCGGTTATACAAACATTTGTGGTTCTTTTGTCACATAAAATTCATGATTTTCAAAACAGGATGAATTGTACTATAGCCTACAGTCATGTCTCTAACTATAAATGGTGATTATGAATAAAACAAATGGCTCTTTTTAGGTAGTAGACTTTAAGCGAGTAGGGTTTCTCTGAGCTGTACAATGATGCACGGCGCACTTGATCACGGGAGGCAGCAGGATTTACTTACTCTGTGGAATACATGTGAGCATGAAAGCAGCACCTGTTCGTGAGTAAACAGAAAGATGTTTGAAGTTTAATAAAAGAGAAGCAACATAAATGTATTAATTAAAAGAAAAATTCTGAATGCTTAAAAGGTAAGCTGTATTATTTGAAAAATTAAAAAAGCAAATTAATAACTTTGATATTTATACTATTTAGTCTTTAAGTTTAGCATAGCACAAGAAAAATTAAGTTAACAACAATCTGAAACATCAGACACACACATGAAGTTCGATATTAAGCTATTAAAATGAGCGTATATGTAAAAGTCAAATAATTATGACAGAGATGTATTTCCCAGTAGATCTTAGAGTGCACGCAAGCCACAGGGGCGAGGAAGCGAGAGGATCGGTCCTGTGGGACCGCTGTGGGCTGTGGGAGAAGGAGCAGAGAAATACTAAGTAAATACTGTTTTTTTAAGGTCTTTGTTCAACTAAATTACACTCCTAAATTTTTTTAAATCACAGCTTTACTGAGATATAATTCTGACAGTCTTAGATTTAGATAGTGAGAAATCAGGAGAGATGAGTCATTGTTTCTTTTCCAAATGCAAGGAAAGTATCCTCACAAGAAAATGTCACCTTTCTGTGATCCAAACTCCCCAGGCTGTGACGAAAGACAGAAGCAAAGGAGAGTAGCTTAGACTGAGTAAAGGGACAGGTGGCGGGCAGGTAGCAGGAGGCCGGGAAGGGGTGGGGCCACCGTTCCCACCCTGGGCTGGACACTCAGGGTCCCGCCACGCCCTTAGCCCCACCCCCGTGCAGGGGCCTTGCAGCAGAAGGGCTTCTCCTCTCAGCAAGAGAAGTCAGGTGAGATTCCAATCGCAGACCACCAGGCTGCCTGATTTGGGGAAAACTTTCTGGTTTTTAGAGTGACCAACCCACCTGCCTTCATTCCATCTATACTTTTCTTCTTAAATGGGAATAAAAGAAGAAATATTGGAATAGAACTCAGTTCTAAAACCTTTTCTTGAAACTTGCCAACAATGAATCTAAATTGGAGAAACTCAGTAATATGGATCCTTTTCTGTTATCACCATTCAATCTAACAGCAATATTGTGTGTACTTAATTATTTACTCTTTATAGAATAATCTTTCAAAGTGTTTCAACAGATATTCAATCTACATTCTGTAACATTATACTTCTGTATATTTAAAATATTATACTTTTAAATGTTCATAAGTATATTGACAAATATTCCTTGATATAACAAAAATAAATGATTAAGTGGTGGTAAATACACTAAAAATGTCATAGAAGTTCAGACTAATTCCAGCTGGTCTCTACCATAATTTCTGAGTTGACCTACTATGGATCACTTGAATGGCTTACTTATTATGGCTTCCTCATCTGTTAAATGGGTATTATCCTACCTCAGACATGTGAAATTAACTGAAGGCCCTCTGAAATCACTAAATGTTGGGGAAATGCCTACTATTGTTTATGACTAAGGAAAAATCTAATTACAGAAATAACTAGAAATGCAAAATAAATAGTGTCTATATCTATAAAAAACAAAAAAATGATAGAATTTAGTGAGAAATTTATAAAAAACAGAATGAAAGAAATATTAGGCAGGATTTACCCTGATTGCCCAAGATATTCAACTCCAAGTTTTCACTCTTCACACAAACCATAAGGCTAAATATTAAAAGTGTAATTAAATAGGTTGCTGAGGCCAGAAAGATTCCTTGTGGCTGTGTTAACACTTTTGGTACACCAAAGTACTAAATTATCCTAAATGGTAATTCTATGGTTTAAGGGCTAAAATATTTTCTAAAATATCCAACTTTTACATATGTAAGACAGGTCCTAATAGGGAACTGGAATATAACAAGTATGATTAACACATTAACTGCCACATGAGTTGTATTTAACTCACTAGTTTTGAGCCCGGGGCCTTGTGAAGCATATGTAACTCACAGGTCTCTTCACCTTGGGAGCTGAGTGAATTATTTTTCAAGTTGCATATAACTCACGCACAGAAAACAATAAAAAATAACAAAGTTTTCATTAAATTAGAAAGGACTGTTTCGTTTTCAAAGTTTTTATTCTATTTTTGTAATAAAACACTGTAGCCTCAAGGAAAAAAAAAATTTCCAGTATGGCAGTCAATGTGCTAAAATAACTTGTGAATTCAAACTACAAAGAACAAAAGTTTAACTATTGTGAACTTTTTGATGATGAAACTTACTGAAACAAATTAAGTTTTAGAATTCATGTACCAGGGTAGGAAGTAAAGCCAGGGTTCCTAAGCTATGAATTCAAGCTTGGGTTTAACTATATTTCCTGTGTTTTCTCAGCAAGTCTCTGAGTGCCGCTGTGTAGGAAGCATCATGCCACACATCATGGGAAATCGCTGTAGGGAATCATTATCTCGCACACACAAAATGCTGAGAATACAAGTGTCCCTAACTTCCAGGAGATAACAGTTTAGTTAGGCAGACAAAATATGTACAGAGAAAACCTATGCTATAGATTATATGTCATCTGTAAACCTGGGGTAATATCAATCTTACTGTGGTAAAGTTTCATGAATAAAGATGAAAAGATTTTAGTTTTCTTAAAGATTCTCCCACGAATTCTTTGGATATATTCGAGCACAGTTTTTTCTTTTCTTTAATGACTCAATTCACAAAACAAATTAAAAATTCCTTTTGCTTTCATCCTTTCTGCACGGCATCCTCCCATCCACTCGCTTTTGGCTGCACAGGACCAGCGGAACGGAAGCATTCCTCTGTATAAACGTCAGCACTTGAGAATTACTATCACTCGGTAAATAAACAAAACCGTTTCATGAGAGTGTTTAGCTCTTTCTCACACACACGCTTTATTTAATGTAAAAGAACATGTTAGCATTGAGGCTCACAGAGGAGGATAAAACTGCAAAAAGCAAGCCTGGCATCTTAAGCTCCACCCCGCTGTCTCGTTACCAGGAAACAGCCCCACCGGGCTCCCTCTAACCCTCGAGCTCAGCACCTGGGGATGGAGGCGAAACTCTTCTTTACATATCGGGCATGGCTGCATGGAGTCTCCCTGCAGGACGGACCTCTGCTTCACTTTCTCCCACTCGTCTGCGGACAGTGGCAATGGGGGAGGTTCAAAGAGGCCCAACTTCTGTGCTGAAGGTAAGACAACACAGAGTACGAGTCAGGATGTATTTTAGAGTGTGGTGCCCACCTATAATTTTAATGACATTATTGCAAACAAATATTAAAGCAATGCACTTCATTTCACAATATAAGTCGTCCCTTGGTATCTACCAGGAATAGGTTCCAGGACCCCTCTTAGATACCAAAATCACGGATGCGCAAGTCCCTTCCATAAAATGGTGTAGTACAAAGAGCTCTTGGAAGCAGAAAATTTTATAGCAGAAACGTGAATGTCAACTGAAAGGCTGGAAGAGAAAGCTAAAATATAGTCACGTGTCGCTTAATGACAGGCTATGTTCTGAGAAATGCATCTATGGGTGATTCTGTTGTTGGGCGAACATCCTACAGCATGCTTACGGGGTGGCAGCCTACTACACACCAAAGCTGTACGGTGTGACCTACTGCTCCCAGCTGCAGACCTGCGCACCATATTACCACACTGAGTACTGCAGGCAATGGTAACACTGGTATTGTGTATCTAAACACAGACAAGGTATAGTAAAAAGATAATATAAAAGATAAATAATGGTATACCTGTGCAGGGCACTGATCATGAGTGGGGCTCACAGGACGGGAGGCTGCTCTGGGTGAGTCAGTCAGTGAGTGGCAAGTGAATGTGAAGGCCCAGGACATTACTGTACCCCACTACAGATTTTACAAACACTGGACGCTCAGACTACACTAAATTTACAAAAAATTTTTTTCTTTCTTCAAGGATAAATTAACCTTAGCTTATTAAACTTTTTTACTTTATAAACTTTTTAATTTTTAACAACTTTTTGACTGTTTTGTAACAATACTTAGCTTAAGACACAAACATGTTATACAGCTATACAAAATATTTTCTTTCTTTAGGTCCTTATTCTGTAAGCTTTTTTCTATTTAAAGTTGTTTTTTCTTTTACTTTTTAAACTTTTTTTTATTAAAAACTAAGACACAGGCTGGGCACAGTGGCTCATGCCTGTAATCCCTGCACTTTGGGAGGCTGAGGCAGGAGGACTGCTTGAGCCAGGAGCTTGAGACCAGCCTGAGCAACATAGTGAGACCCCATCTCTACAAAAAAAAGAAAAATTAGCTGGGCATGGTGGTGCATACCTGTAGTCCCAGCTATTCGGGAGGCTGAGGCAGGAGGATTGCCTGAGCCCAGGAGTCTGAGGTTGCAGAGAGCTATGATGATGCCACTGCACACCAGCCCAGGTGACAGAGTGAGACCCTATCTCAAAAAACAAAACAAAACACTAAGACACATGCACATCAGCCTAGGCCTGCACAGGGTCAGGACCATTGAGATGTCACTAGGTGATAGGAATTTTTCAGCTCCACTGCAATCTTATGGGATCACCGTGGTATATGTGGTCCATCGTTGACCAAAACATTGCTATGTGGCTCATGACTATATAATCTCATAGAAAGTAGAAAAAGCAGATATAGCAGGAGATAAAAAATAAGAAAATTAAGGTAGTCTGACATCTGAAAAACAGGCATTCCCGAAAGAAAACAGAGAAAATGGTGAGTAAAAATTGTTTTAAAAATAGTCCAAAACATCTTCCAAAGCAAAGGACATGAGTTTCTGGCTTAAGAGGGTCCAGCAAGTACCCAGAATACAAGAGTCGCACCGAGTCCCATCACTGTGAAAATTTTGGAGGCAAAAAGCGGATGCTAAAAAACACAGGTCTCAACAAAGGACCAGGAATCAGAACTGCATCAGACTTATCTACAGCAATACAGACCCCAAAATACAATTCTTTCAGGATTCTGAGGAAAAAAAGACTCCATATTGAAATTTCTTATTAGCTATCAATCAAACATGAGAAAAGAATAAAAATATCTTTCTGCGGATAGGCCGCACAGGGAGCTCCCACGCGCGCCTTCTCAGGAAGCCACTGGAGGAGGAACTTCACCACAGTGAGGGAGTCAACGGAGAAGGCAGGTTCCCCGGGGGCCGGGAAGGAGGGTCAGAGGGAACCCCGGGAGGTGCTGGAAAGGGCTCTGCATTAGCCCTGCGGGGCAGCTGGCCCGGTGCAGCAGAGTAAGGAGGACTCTAGCAGTGTCCCCAAGAAGACATGGATAAAATACACCACATGCATTTCAACGTGTGGAGGGAACGTGTCCTGGAGGTCTCACGGATGGTGAGTGAAGAGGGATGAGGGTGAGGTGCGACCACGGCCGTGGGGAGAGGGCACGTGGAGGAGCAGATGGGCTGTGGCGGCGGCGCTCAGGCAGGGGTGGGGGCAGCCAGCCGGCCAGGAGTGAGGTAGCGGGTGCCACTCTGCCCCGAGACTTGGGTGGCTCCCCGCGTACTGGCGACACAGCCCGGCGCTGCTTCGGCTTCAGGCACCCACACCTCCCGTCATGCAAACCCAGATTGAGTATCAGCAACCGAGACCGAGAACTGGAAGGAGAGGAGACAAATACCTCCACTGACGGGTCTCACCAAACCGCTGTGCCTTCTGACCACACGCAACAGTGTTTAAGATCAGCGGCACACCCGGCGCCAGATCCTGGTTTCTGAATCCTCGTCTTCAATGAAAGGACCAGGGCTCCCCGGAGACACGGCTGATTCTGGGGCTGGGTCAGGGAAGACACAGGATAAGCGTCCAGTGTCTTGTGGTAGCACCAAGGAAGGAAGTGCCCAAAATGAAAAGGACGAGGACCCACCTCAAAGAGTCTGTGGCCAAAGACGTGACGAGGAGAGCAGCAGGACCGAGCCCTTCGCCAAAGTATAAACTAAATGTGCATGAGTCGCGCTGACACAGATGGCTGAACGCATAAATAAATGGGGAGAAGAGAGTTTCCTTGTAGAGTAATTCTGTGTGTAACGTATGTAGCTATTAACCCCCATCCAGGAGGTGGAGCCTAATCCCCCCACCCTGCTGCCTGAACGTGGGCTCGACTTAGTGTCTCACTTCCAAAGAACAGGGAAAGGGAAAATTCATACTTTTCCGTGGAGAAAGCTGGCAGACACGCCCTTAACCAAGCCGTCAGCAGCGATGGACGCGCTGACACCACGCACCCTGGGAGGGCGGATGGGCAGGCACTTCTCTGCTGCTCTTCCCATCAAGCCGTGATCCCAGGCCCAGTCGTGAGGAAGACGTCAGGCAAACCCAAACTGAAGGGCAGTCTATGAGTACCTGGCCAGCACTCCCCAAAATGGTCTAGGTCGTGAAAACAAGGAAGGACTGGGAAACTGTCACAGGCCAGAGGAAAGATGACAGCGACGGGCAACACTACCCTGTGTTGGCTTCTAGAATAGTATAAGGGCAGTAAGTGGGAAAAGTGAAATCCAAAGAAAGTCTGGAGTCCAGTGAGTTAACAGTAACGTACCACTGTTGGTTTCTAACTTTGGAAAGAATACCATGCTGATGCAGAACGTTAGCGCTGGGGGGAACTGCGCACACAGGAACTCTGCGCTGCCTCTGTAACTTTTCTGTAAATCCAAAATTATTCCAAAATAAAAAATGTATTTTAAAATAGCAATAACAAAAGCAGAACTTTAAAAGTAACTCCCAAACAACAATCTGTGCCTGAAAAGTAAAATATACACGGCTCAGTAACTTAGGTTAAAGAAAAAAACCAAAAAGAAAACCAGGAAGTGCGGTACCACGAGCTGAGTGGCTGTAAAGGCCGATTTGTGAGACAGCGGAGACCGCAGACTGCGCTCAATGTATAGCTCTGGACACAGTGACCAGAAAACAAGAAAGCCTGCGACTCACTGCACAGACAAGCAAAGGAGAAACACAAGCACGACCATCTCAATAGCTGCAAGAAAAAAAAGCATCTAATAAGTACTATTTAGGATTTTAAAAAACTCTGGAAACTTGTTATATGGGAAATTCTGTAATCAGATAAAGGCCAACAAACAAGCAAAACAGAAGAGAATGATAAAGAGCAAACATCACATAACTGGAAAAATTATAAGTGTTAGGCTCAGTAACATGACAGAAGTGCCAGGTGTCAACTACTTTGTATTGACCGCAGTCCGGAGATGCTGACCAGATCAAAAGAGACACAGGGGGAAGAAAGAAGGGACATAAAAATGGAAGGGCAGAGTCAGTAATGACCCCTGCAGAGCAAATGACTTACTTAGAAAACCTCTAAGAGTTGGAGAAGAGAAGACCGAAATGGTGTGAGATGCCACCATTGTGTGGGTCAGATGGTTAACACTGTAAATGTGATTTCCCCTCATCTTTAAACACAATTTAAAAAGTTTCCGGCAGAATTTTATGTAGAAAATAAAGGAATTTTAGGGGAAAAAAGGAGAAAAGGGTCTTTTCCTACCAGCTGTTAAGACACACTACAGAACTACACTAAGTAAAACAGTGAGATGCTGACACAGAAGCAGAAGCCCCCAAAATGAAGAATCTAACAACGTGTATACCCAAATACCCAACAGTTTTCCCAATATCATAAGCAAAGTAAACTGTGTGAGATCTAAATGTGAAAAGTAGAGTAAAAAGGTAAATAAAGAAAATGTAGGAAAATCTTTGCAGTCTCAGATTGGTGAAAGATTTCTTAAATCTCCCAAAATATAGCAATAAAGTGAAAAACCAATGGATTTAACATTAATCAGAATGAAAATTTTATTCAATACAAAATGACAGATAAAAGTTAAAAGATGATGACAGAATAAAAGATATTTTCAGTGGCTAAATCCACAAGAGATTAACATGTAGAACACACAAAGAACTCCAGTAAATCAGCAAGAAAAGACAGAAATATTATGTCTTGGAATATTATGTATTACAGTGGAATATTATGTATAGATAAGGGTATATGGCTCAACCTCATTAGTAAATAATATGCATTATAAAGATTTTTTTTCATAAAGAGGTCATTTACTCTCCTTAATAACCTCACTTATTTTTCAAATTAGGATGTTCTTCCTGATGTTTAATTTAAATCTTTCCTGACACAATTTTTAAGACTGATTATGATGAAGGTATTTGATCATCGACATAAATTATATATGCACAGTAGAAGATATTCACTAAGTGTCTGTATAACATTATTCCAAGTCTCAGTATGTTCTTGAGCCATGCCACTTTCTAGACAACAACTCGCATTGTCAGCAGAAGTTAAGAGGGAAATAACATAAAATGTCACCCCTGGGCATTGCTGTGGAAGCAGGTCCCCTCTGCCTTGTGTGACTCAAGGCATGGGCCTCCCCAGGCCTCTAGAT